TAAGGATCCTGAGGCTGGGGCCCCAGCCTCAGGATCCTTAAAAGGCGGAAAAATATACTTACGTTCTACACAATTAACTACCTGTAAATTGGTAGAAGTCCCATATTGTCAATGGACTGCCGGTCTTCATAATAAGTTAGTGGTTCCTCGTAACTGTGAGTTTAATCCATTCTATTGTTAATCACAATTGGCTGTGCTTCTATAAAGGGATTTGTTATCGTGACCCACGTTTCCCTTCGTCAGATTCCTAGTTAGTTTTAAACCGTTCTTTATTTACGTGTCTAGATTGGGCTTTATGGATGACGGCAAATAAAATCAATATACGTTGGTGTTAGGTCTATTCTACTGTATCCTGCTCATTGTTGTGGTGCTTGCTTGGTTCTAGTCGTTGTCAGGTGTTCACCACCCCATAAAGAATTGAGATGAAAACAACTAAACTTTCCCCATTCACGCTTTAAATATCGTTTGTATGCTTTCTGACCGTTGGGAAGAACTTTCTGGATCGTTCTCTTTTCTACATAGCAATTATGCTTATGAAGTAATTGTTGTGGATGACAACAGTCCTGATGGGACCGCGGACGTTGCAAAACGATTGCAGGCTATCATTGGAAAAGATAAAATTGTAAGTTGTCTTGTGGTGCTTTAAAACCAAGAATCTTAGGTTTTAAAGCCCCGGAAGGCAAAACTTGGACTAGGTATGTTCTTTTCACGCTTACTCTTTTCTTCCACCTAGGAACCGCTTACTTACATGGTTTGGAGTATGCCAAAGGGCAATATATTGTTATAATGGATGCCGATTTATCTCATCATGTAAGTCATCTCCAACTGTTTCGCATAGTCTCGTCGTTTGTAGCCCAAGTTTATTCCGGAATTCATTAGGTAAGTGACAATCGCATTTGCAAACTAAATCGACAGGCTACAGCAAAAATACAAATACGATATAGTCACGGGTACCCGCTACGCTCTAACAGGCGGAGTCAGTGGTTGGGATCTGAAGCGCAAACTCATCAGGTACGTCACGTTTTGCCGTTCGATTTGTGCAATCATGATTGTGACCCCATTTATAATTTTGCCCATTGTATTCCACATTTGGCTTCCGAAGTTTTCTTTCTTTTAGCTCTAATCATTGTACAGATTTATATGCATTGTTTCAGGGGGACTAAATCGAGTAGCACAACATAATTCAGATATTGGATATCGATTTATACACATCTGTGGGGATTCAATGTTTCTCATGGTCTCTCATCTTCTGTAGATAGTTGACTTCTGCTGTCATACTTGATCTGCTGGACGCCTCGCAGTTTACCCTCTTACGAATGTGGTCGAGGAGTCCGGATATTAGCATCTGTATATAACGCAGGTCTTATTGATAGCGTGCCAAAATGTTTCGATCATTGTTTTTTTCCGGTTGGGAATAAGTTTTACACCTGCGTCAAAAAAGCGAAACTTGCCCCGGTTCTTGTCTTATATATGAGATTCGGGGTAAATGAGAGAATTCCTGTAATGTCCTACATTGGAAACAGTTTCCATTCCCTCCGTGGTCTCCAACTAGCACTTATCCCGATTGCTTCCAGTCGACTGGGCGGCTCGGCGAATATGATGGAATATAATGTAAGCAAATGTTTCTTAGGATGTCAGAAGCGTGTTTCGGTTACTGCGAACCGGGTGTGATCCGCGGATTTCATTTGCCGCCTAGTTTTATTCCACCTTCCTCCTACAAGAGCCAGTATGCTTTTTTCGATTGTTCAAAACAAACAGAATATCACGTCTGGGTTGCGATCCACCACACCTCTCGGTTGTTTGTAGACTGCTTCCTTGACACCAGGCTACGTCACCAATGTTCGGATGCAGACTAAAGTGACGGATGTGTTGAAGCGTAGATTCAAAAATAGTTTGACAATTCTATGGAATAGGGACTCTTAGCTGATCATGGCACCATGGATCTTGAACTTGACAGCATCACATAGCAACACAACCTACCGGTTATACCAAAACGGTCCAACTGGCAACTCCGGTTTGCACGGGGTAGCAATCACCGTGAGCGGCCGGGCCAACAGTGTCATGATCTCTTGGGAACCAATCTCTACCAGGATTGCAATGGAGCGCTTCAGGAGTAAGCCGTTTAACCTAACTGTCATCGCTGTTTATGCTCTGATGTCACATACCGAACAGCCGATCAAAGACGACTTCTACAACCAAGTTCAAGACGCAGTTAATCGCAGTCCGAGACGCGACATTCTCGTTATCGCGTGCGACTGGAATGCTCGCACTGGTCCATGAGATGAACATACTCAGCATGTTCTGGGAAAGTTCGCTCTTGGTCAACATTGCGAAAATGGTGAACGCCTAGTCACATTTGCTGACCTAAACCGGCTGGTCGTGGCCAACCCTCGTTTTCAGCATCGCAGAAAACACTTACGTGGTACTCAAATGATGGTCGAACGGCACACCAGATTGATTATATTTTGGTACTTGCTCGCTAGGCCTCTTCGGTTTAAAACTGCCGTTCCTATCGCGGCGCAGAAACTGAAACAGGAACGGCATGGACTATACCCTTGTTCACGCCCGTTTTAAGATCCACCTGACTGCTCGCCGGAAGACTCCTCTCCCGGGCAAATTCAACGTTGCGCTCTTGGAACGACCTGAGCGAAGGCAGGCGCTGCTGGACGCAACCGCTGCCAACGTAACCGCAGATTTCTTCGGTAACTCAGCTTTCGACGAACAGTGGTCTACACTGAAAACTTAGATCAGAGAAGCGGCGCTGGGGCAGTTAGGTGATACTCTTCGTCACGAGAGAGACTGCAATCTTCTGCAAAGGGAAGAGATGCGCGGCTGGTCTATTCTCCTGAATTTCGTATTCTTCGTCGCCAAGCCACATGCTCTGCCAAGAGGAACCGTAAACAATTCTGGAAGGCGATTGCAGACAGCATGGGGGCTGCAACCGTCGCACCGAATTTCGAAAAGCTATTCCGTTTAATCCGTGTCGCAGCAGTAAGGAGGCAGACATCGGAACCACTGTTGCGCAGCACCACAGGCCAACTTATTCAGGGAAATGCAAAGGTGGGTTGAACACTTCACTCTCCGTAGGATTCTAGAACACCGCTACAAGTTCCAACAGCCTATCACTGCATGTTTCATTGACTTCCGCGCTGCGTTTGACTCTGTCGATAGTGAATCCTTGTGGTACATATTGCGGTCCGACGGGATTCCTAAGAAGTTCATCAGGTTTTTAAAGTCATACTACTCAGGAGACCGGGCACGCGTCCGTACCTATGGAGAAGAACCGGCTGAGTTTACCCCAATCTTTGGAGTCAGGCAAGGTTGTCCCCTGTAGCCGGTGTTATTCAATTACACCATATATTGGATAATGCGACAAGCACTCATCGACCACTCTGGAGTGCAGCCTGGCCCAAGTACACGGATTGCCGACGTCGAGTTTGTGGATGATGTCGTTGTACTTGGAAACACTATGGACAACCTCCATTCTGTTGTCAATCGCGTAAATCAGTTTGCCCAGGCCATTTCTGTCATGACACAACCCCTCTCGATTAACGGAGAGCTTGTCGAATCAAGCGAAGTTTTGAAGTATCTTGGCTCTACGATCAGAACAAACAGCCAGGCTAAGGATGAAATCCAACTCCGTGTAGATGGAGCTAGAAGAGCCCTCCTACAACTCCTCGAACCGTTGTGGAATCGATGCGAAATAAGCTCAAACACTAAGCTTCGGGTTTATCAGGCTTTCATCCGCCCCATCCTCACTTGCGGTTGTGAAACCTGGCCACTAAGAGTACAAGATACAAGGAAGCTCGAAGTCTTTGATCATTGGTGCTTACACTGCATCTTGAAAGTAAACTGAAGAGATCGGACTTCCAATGATGAGGTTCGACGGCGCTGCTTGAACGCTGACAAGCTGTCAAAGATCCTACATCACCGGTGCCTTCAGTGGTTTCACTATGTGCTCATCATCATCATCATCGTTGCGAGATCCCTTCTTAAAAATGGGAACAATCAATGATTCGCTCCAGGATGATGGAATGCGCTCATGTGACCAGATGTTACGCATTAGATCACTAATGGAGTCTACGAGGTCATCGCATCCCAACGTGAAAAGAGTAGGGGGAGGCCCGTCCATGGAGCCGCAACTACAACAGACGATATAATCGGGTTAGCACCTGGCCAACTGAACTGTTCGTTGAAGTACTCTGACCACCGGTAAAGCCTTTGTTCCCTATTGTGAATAGCTTGTCCACTATTGTTGCAGATTGTTCCACTAACTGTGGTTCTCTGACGTCCAGTGTTACCTATCAGTTACCTATCAGTCTTTGACTGTTCCCTGATGCAGCTGCGACCTCCATTTCACTGGCTATCGTTGCCCATCAGTTCTCACGATCTTTCTTAAGGCTCTTCTTGAGTTATCGTTGCAGATGCCACCTACCCCTGCCTTGATCCCGGGCGGTGGGGATTTGTCGCTTTTTCTCCATCAGTGCTACTGAATCATCAGATATCCAATTCCTCGGGCTGACTACCGCTTCCAACCCACAAGCAACTCTCGCAACGGAGTGCATTGCTCGTCTAATCTGATCCCATTGTTCATCTACAGTACCACCCCGCGGAGCGTTTAGCTCTAGCCCTAGTTTTCATATAAAACGGGCACGAACGGCTGTGTCAGATAAACGATGATCTGCCAATCGCGTTTGGTGGGATTTTCTGCGATCAGTGATTTGGAGAGTGAACTGCATCAACACTAATGCACTATCAGATTCAACGCAAGTGGTCCAATAGGACCTGCACTTTTGTACTGAGCCACGCCAACGGTAGCTTACTACTATGTGGTCGATTTGAGCTAGTGTACCAGTTTAATTTGAGCGCCACGTTGCTGTTTGTTGAGGGCTCTGACGGAAGTTGGTGCTGGATAGGATCAGATCTGTGCAGAACTGAATAAGTCGGTCTCCATCATCTGTTCCCTGACAAGGCAGAGCACAATGACCGCCTAGGTAAGCTTCCGATGCGCTCAGTTTTCCGAATTGAGCGTTAAAATCACCTGGGAGAACAACTTAATCGGCGCTTCGGCTCAACCGAATGAGTTCGGTGAGTTTATCGTAAAACTCGTCCTTTCGTGCGTCAGAACTGCAGTTGGTAGGAGCGTATGCTGAAATGATGAACAGACACCTTTTGGTGTTGCTTCCCTTCCGAACGCTGATGGACCCTTAAAGCCGCATCACACATAAACGACTATTGAGGGGGATCCAATCGAGTAGTGTAGCTTCGGCTTTATTAGTGAGTACAATGCCCATGCCGCGCTGGCCTACTGAACGGGCTTTGTCATCACCTGGCGTGCGGAGGAAGAGCCTCGAAGACAACCCCGGTGCATTTAAGTGATTTATAGTACCAGGATCCTGGATTCACGTTTCCTATACGCAACAGATAGCAATCCCCAAAGAGTCCATCGTACGCGGCAGACACGCTTGTAGACCTCTCTGCATCGAAGTCCTCACGTTGAAGGCCCCTAGATTCAATGACTGACAAGGCTTCAGTATATGCAATTTATTTTGTGGTAAACTACTTACCGGGCTACTTGGTGACGAACTTTGGCGAGTGATGAACAAGTTGTTTGAGGGATTGTTACAGGTTGGAAGAAGGGGTAAAGGGAGAGGGTTGGAAACGGAAGACAAGGATTTGAACACTAAACTCTCGTGACAGGCTGTAGCTCCCGCAACGTGCCGTGGATAGCGTTGCCGACTCGGTGGTCAACTGAAGATTTGGAGCAGTACGATCAAGGCGGATTTGGAATCACTGGGCCTCCAGTCCGTATATGGAATTAGTAACTGGAACCAGAACTGGATTTCACATTGCGTCAGCCTTGCTACCGATCGTCATGCATGGGCGGCCATCATTAGAGACATCCAAGAAGCCAACTTATCCTCTCGCAGGAGTTAGTCGATCAAGAGTAAAAAGTAAGTAGTTGGTCAGGCAGGTGCTTTGTGGGACTGGCTTGATGGCCTGGTTGTTTGTGTAGTGCTCATCTTATCCGCTCGCATTGGACCCATGCCGGTATGTGTTCGACCGCTCGGGTACGTAGTTGCCTCTCTTTTTCACATAAGTAGGTAGCGCCGCACCCATAGTGAAATTCAGAGACTACATGCGATTTGGCGGACGGAAGAAGCGGTGATTTCATCAAGGGCTTCGGAATCTGGGTTGCTGAGAAGTGAACTCCTCAAAGATAATGATGTAGACTAACTCATACTAAAACGGCTGGTGGCGACTGTAGCTCGCACACACTTTGCCTCCAATCCGGTCGTTCGCTCTGTAATCCCTTCTTATGTGCCCAAAAATAATTTGTAAAATCACCCAACCTACCATGGCCCTCCCGTCCTCATCCTCTCCATTCCACCCCAAATCATACAAGTAACGTGGACCGATTGTAAGATCGGATGGCAAGATCAACCATATGTGGTTGGTGAAACTGAGCTAAAAACAAACCACAAAAATCTCCATTTGAGTTTTCATTTATTTTGCTTCCTCTTTTCAATACAAAATGATGACGTATTCTCCAATGAATGAGTCACCAAAAATAAACTCTTTCGGTAAACTGCGTTTTCCTCGATTATTCTTCCGCTTTTTGATTCTGTTCCACGATCCCTTCTCCGAAAGTTACAGTCGTTCGATTGTTCCACCAATTTATTGTCATGATTGCAAGACTATTTTACAGGAAGGATTCAGAGAATAAAAGCAAAGGGCACTGAGTCAAAACCGTCGGTTTATAATTCTGGGGTCCTTCATGGTTTTGTGCTTTCTCCATATTTATTTTCAGGGTTCATCACTTACTTGCCCTCTGTCCCGCCAGCCAAGACCTGATGACATGATCTTATGTCAAACCAATCCGGTCTTCATTTGAATCCTCCGATTGCGTTTTAGTCTTGCCCGATCCGAATATCCTTTGGCACCTTCATTCATCAATTCCGTATACCCATCACCAGAACACACCACCAAATACCTAGGAGTCATCATAGATAGCAATCTACGACGGTCTGCTCATATGCTAGCCTGTGTTAGTAGACTACGCCACTTATCCTTCCAGATACGCAAGCCATGACGATTTAGAGTGAAGCATACAACTATATGTTTGTTTATCAATACACTTTTCCTGTCATATTTTATTGTTCACCCATTATTTTCTATGGACTACTTAAAAAAGATTTCCTCACTCGCGGTTTGGTGATTGTCATCCGTGTTTCTCCTATTCCCCTAAACACGAAGCACAAACTTGTGTGCTCCTCATATTGCTTCATGTGGGAATTTTGCCTGTAAGATACCCAATGACCCCAGTCATCCGCTCAATCCCGATCCATCTGCCTGTCGTCCCCACGCTACAACCCGATCCAATTATCGCTGCTTACCCTGCCGCATAAACTTTTATGGCAAATCAATGGTACCCTATCTGACTCTTATTCTAATTCTAATTGGCAATAAGAAAATCATAAACGAATTAGTTTTAAACCTACAAAGATAATCTGCTCAAGTTTTATCATTGTTGTACATGACTCTTCATTTTTTATCCCACTGTAGCGGTCAAAACATTTTTGATCGAAATGTTGGTATAGTTACCTGCACAAGTCATTACAGTAATACAATACCCAAGAATATCATTTGGCTTTCGATCTTGCCCAGAAATGCCCGTTTGGCTAGCTATCTTGATACATAAGCGGGTTTGTTTATGTTTTCCAATACAGTTATTGAATTTATATACCTCCCATTATTGTTTTACCTCCACTTACTAAACTTCCGATCACACGTTCACTCGTCTATGGGAGAGCGATACATCGACATCGTATTTCCTCAGAGCGTAGCCAATACAGTTTAGACTGTTTTGTAATCAATGTCCGGGGCACAGTTTTCCTGTCATATTGTGCTTGTTAACGGTGAGGTAAGCACCGCGCTAGTGTAAGGGGAATTGTTCTATAGCTGAAAATACGTTGTGTATCATGTCTAACAGGAAATTCGATATGCACGGTCACTCAGCACACAGCTTCCTGTTGGCTTTGCTGACCTCCTAAATGACCTTGAGATACACAGCAATTTCTGGTCTACAATTCCCCTAGTTCATCTTCCGGTCTTGTACACTAATCGTGTCTGAGAAAGATTGGTTGTTTTGCGTTTCTTATTTCTCCGGTACTCCCCCCCTCCTCGATATTTGAGATGTGGATCTAAAGTTTAATCTACCCGGTTCGGCTTTGGAATACATCTGTGTATGTGTATTTCAAACCGAATTAAATTCATCTGCTGGAGATGGTTATTGATGTGCGAATGTCTGATAAATTCATCGATCACTCAATCAATCACACTGTCGGTTTAAAGTGTCATTGAGTGGAACTGTCATGCCCAAGAGAGAATGTATCGTAACTTTTTTCACATCATCATCTTACAGCGAAATACAGGGAAACGAACTTCACTAATCGCTGCCAAACTCGCAATGCGTATGCATTGGGTTTTGATGAACGGGTGCTGCTAGGGTGTTCAAACACTAAGGACGAGAACGATTAGGGTTCTCAACCAAAGCCTTTAGGTTTGATAAGAATCTAGCTGCAAGGCAGCGGGCGAAGCGAAGTGGAGGTCTATTTACTTGAATCAATCACTCCTACACCATTATTCACCGACTGAAATTTAAATTCCATTTGAACTCCCAAACTGGAGGAACACGAGACTGGACTTCGTCCGACCTCTACCCATTGACCTTCCAGGCATGATTAGATCTTCGGCTTGACGAAAGCCTGTCTAGGGGGGCATTTCGCTCTTCCCGCCCAGCGAACAGACAACGGTGATCGGCTTCTTCAGCTTTGTGCGGATCATCGGCTGTTCTTATCTAGAACCAGCTTCCGACACAGCTCTCGTCGAACGGTTGCATCTTGTTCTAGTTCTGCGGGAAAGTTGATCCAAATTGACCACATAGCTGTAAGTTGCCGTTGGCGTGGTTCAGTACAAAATTGCAGATCCTATTGGATCACCTGCTTTGAGTCCATCACGACAAGACTGCACCTTGACGTGGTGTGACGGTTTGCGTGCCTCCATGACCCTGCGAGTTATACAGGCTGACTCCTCACAGCAGCAGATCCAATCATGCCTGAAAGGTCAATGGGTAGAGGCCAGACGAAGATCAGTCTCAAGGCCAGCTGCTTGGGTATCCGCTCGCTTCCTTTGATTATCTACTTCCGTCCCTGGGGAGGTCACTCCAGCAAAACAAACACGAGGAAGGGCAACTTACCGGTCAAAAACCCCGCTAGATGAACGTAGGGGTCGGGTACCTGGGGCTTCCTTCTGACGGTGGGAGAAGTCACTGCACTTCACTGGACGGCTACTGCCCCCCCCCCCATGCAGGGCAGTTCCCAGTCAGTAAGGTGTTGTCCTGTCCACGTTCCGTTTGTCTCATTGGGTGCATGAGACTAAAGGCCGATCCCGAAATGTAGACTGTCAACGAGCGAACTACACATGTTTGTATTTACGTAACTGTAAACCCGTTGCACGCGACCGTAGCAAAGTTGGTTCAAGTCCATTTGTGCTCATGTCGTTTGGGATTTCGGTATGTGTTCATACAGGAAGATATCCTCTTGTTGGCTGGTTTTCTTTGACTTTTTTTGTTTTTCACTCCAACCGTATAAAATGTTCGCTTGATCAATTGCACGTATCAGAGTACTCGGTTATCGATATCTCTTGTTTGTATTATTCAGGTTGCTCAAATAGAATCCTCTTTAATCTCGTTTCTTTCTTAGGTATTTCCATGTTACAGTAACTAATCTGATTGTTACACCTCTGTCGACCTCGCATTGTTTTGAGGAACGGATCACGTACCGCAGTACTAATGCCGAACCACGACTGTTTCATTTAGCTAATAAATCACAAGTGCCAAGTATTCCATTTACCTTCACTCGTGGTCGTTTATATCCCTGTTGGTTAGCATTCCACAGTGTGATTGGTGGTTCTTGCCTGACTTTTGACTGCAGTGTATTGTATGCCACATACTGACAGAGTTGCCTTTCTTCTTCTTCTCCTCTGATTCACGGTTTCCGCACAGCCGCACAGCCAACTATATTGCTCAAGTTTTATTACGACCAAAAGCGACCGATCTGACCGGAAGCTTCAGGTTAGTTTATTATTATTATTATTTTTTTCGTATGACGTCTGTTTGTTTTCGCTGAATCCTGATATGATGATTTTCGAGTCCGCACAAACTGGACACGATATGGTCACAAACGGTCGTCCCATCTTTCCCGTTCATCAGCCGGCGAACAGTATAAATCATCGATTACTTTAGCTCCTTTTGGGGTCACAGCCTATTTTTTTTACCGTCAATTACGCAGCAGAGTTCAACCAACAAGTTATGCACTATTCAGATTCCGCCGGAATGCGATGCTGTTTTAACGCAAAATAGCATTCGATCTATTGTTCTTTTTGTTCCTGTTTGGTTTGTGTACTTTTTCTCGATCACAGTGAAACGTGCCAGTTGCATTACCAAGGGGTTTCCACGAAGAACGAGTGTACCACACGTGATGCCATTGTGTGTGGTTTCTGTATACTTGGCCCGCCGGATAGATATTTTCATGAAGTTTGTTGTAGCCTTTTTCTCGAGAGCGTCATCATAATGCTTCGGGGTTAGAACACCTCCGTCCTTAACCAGCCACCGCCATGCTGTTTTGATGACACAACTTGATTGTCACCCAGCTGAACTCTATGTTTAATCCGTTGTAGATTTGTGAGGTCCGCAGTCCCAGATGTCATTGGATTATATTGCCACACAGTAGGTATTCCTGACTGTTGGGTTTTCATCCCTGTAGCTACTGTTCGTCCTCCAGTGTGTATGTCATACAAAAGTCCTGTTCGAGTAGATTTGTATTTCTGCGATTATGAAGTTTCAGTCAGGGATTACTTAAATGTAAGTAGCTGAACCTGGATCCACCATCCATTCGTATTGCACATTCCGTCGCTGCAACCGTTACGCAATGTGTTTAACACAGAAATTATTTTTTATTTTGTTAATCTGTATCTTTTAATCATTCA